CACCAACCGGAGAAACCGATAAGGAGATCACCACCCAAATCGCCATCGACGACTAAACCCCTCAGGAACACCGGAACAACACACCAGTATGGATGCTGCTGATCTGGAACAGGGAGGAGAAGGGTCATACGGGTGGAGTGCCACCACGTACGCGACCCTAGCGCCGAGTACATTTGCCGGACAGTCACCGTCCGTGCCTACAACCAACCCGTCAGGCCGACCATCGGACGATGGCCAAAGGCCTTCAACTAGTTATGCCCAACTGGTAGCTGCCCCGGCAGTACCAAGGACAAAGACAGCTGAGGCACCTAAACCGCCGGAAGAAACGGCCAAAAGATACCCACCTATAGTGGCTGAGTGCTTACCGGACTGGACGAAGCACTTCGAGGTCCTTAACAAGAAGTTAGGTCACCCACCGAATGCTCGTCCGTTCGGTAAGGGGGTCAGATTCACCCCTCAGAGTCCGGAAGAATTCCGGACGGTGCAGAGATACCTAGTGGAGATGACTGACAAAGTACCAGCTATGTCCTGGTACTGTTACACCCCCGAAGAGGACAAGCCCACAAAAGTGGGAATACGGGGCTACCAGTAGGCACGGATCCAACCGCGATAGAGGGGGCTATCAGGGCCAAGGGGTTCCCGATCAAGTATGTAAAAGGGATCCCCCCCCGTAGAGGCAGACCTGGGTGCCTCTACTTCGCACAGCTGGACCACCTGAGCCTGGAGCGCCTAAACGAACTTTATCAAATCGACGAGCTCCTCTTCATGAGAGGAGTCGTCATAGAGGCCTGGCAAGGAAGAGCGGGCCCTTCACAGTGCCACCGCTGCCAGGCCTTTGGACACGCATCCACCAATTGCTTCAGGCCAGTGAAGTGTGTTCGCTGCGCCGGAGATCATATTGCCAGCAACTGCCCAAGGGGTAGAGACGAGGAACCGAAATGCGCAAACTGCGCTAAGAATCACACCGCCAATGATCGCCGCTGCCCAGTCCTGAGGAGGATTGCAAGGAAGCAGAGGATTGCTCTACCGGGACTACTCCCAGAGGAGCCCAAGAGGGTCCCCAGAGTCGTCCCAGGGCCGTGGTCCAGGAAGACGGGTGGACCACAGTTAAAGGAAAGGGAAGGCAACCTGCCCCCCCTCCACCCGTCACGGCACCCATAAAAACGGTGGTGCCCACCACTACCACATCGAAGGCAACCACCGGGGCGACTCTCCAGCCCCCCGCTAACGACGCCATAGAGCGACAAACCACTCAGTGGAGTAAGCGGGGGAGGAAGAAGAAGAAGAAGGTGCAGCCTCCTCCTCAGGCAGCAACCTCTACCCCAACCCCAGTGGTAACGATAGCCCAGGCGCAGGTTACCAAGGAGAAGAAAGCCAGAATGGGTAGAGTGTCAGAAAGGGCTCTATCAGAAAATAGAGCCCGCTCTACACAAAGAGCGCGCTCTACCCATATACAAAGAGCAGTACACCAACTCCCGAGACCAGCGCCAACCCCTGCACAGGCACCTAGAACACCATCAGCCGGCTTCGAGACTGCTGACGCCATCCAACGTCTGGTTGGCATAGCAATCGAAGTCGGCAGCCAGGTCCTGGCAGATATCAGAGCCGGGACTGATCCCATCACAGCAGTCATGAGGGCGCTGGCCAACCTCCTGGCTTGGCACTACGGAGGAATCTAACCTGCGCCTCCTCTACTGGAATCCAGGTGGAATCCAGCAGAAGTTACAAGAACTCCGCACCGTCGCCCAACAACAAGACGTACATGTCATCTTGCTGGGAGAGACAAAATTGAATCCGAGTACACGCATAAAGCTGCCTAATTACCATCTTTATAGAAGGGACGAGGTCACTTCTCAGGGGGCCGCCTACAGAGGGACAGCGGTCCTAGTGAGAAGGGACAACGTCCATCAAGAACTCGACTTACCGGAATACCAAACTATGCGCTCTATCGGCATAAAAATGGAGGCAGCGGGCGAGGAACTTAGGATCTACGCAGCATACCGCCCGCCAGGGACTCCATTTTGCTCCTCAGACGTCCGGACGATAATGGAAGGCGAAACACCGACCATCATCGCCGGGGACCTAAACGCCAAACACCCGGCGTGGGGATCTAGACTGATCAACCCGCCGGGTCATGCACTATTTGACGACGCCGAAAGACACGGCTATGACGTTTTAGGTCCCAAAAAACCTACACATGTTCCGACGGATCCACGAAGTCGTCCGGATGTATTGGACATCGTGCTCGCTAGGAACATCAACTACCCGATAATGGTACAGGTGCTGTATGACCTGGACTCACAGCACCTCCCGATCTTAATTACCCTTGGCCTAAAGGCGGTGACTACGCCGCCCAGAACAGTGAAGACACGTGTCGACTGGAGGCTCTACCACAAACACCTGCAGGAGAGACCTCCAGCACACCACCCCTTAAACACAGCGGACGACGTAGAGGCCGCAGCTACCAACATAACCAAGGCGATACAAGAGGCCCTCAACGCTGCCTCTACGATCGTCCCGATGTCTACAAGGAGAGACGATCTGCCGCGACACATTAGCGTGCAGATCAGGAGAAAAAGGGCGTTAAGGAGACTCTGGGCGCGTACTCGCTGCCCGAGAATCAAGACGCAATTGAACACCTTGTCGGAGGAACTGTCGGTTGCAGTCCAGGCACATAGAGGAGATGCCTGGGAGCGGCGTATATGGAAGGCGGAAGAGCATGATACGTCGCTCTATAAACTGAACCGACAGTTAACTAAAGCCAAACCTCCCGTTTGCCCGCTGACCAACAACGCGGGCGAACGTCGTTACGATGCCAAGGGTAGAGCGGATATCCTAGTAGAGCACTTCGAGGAGCAATTTATGCCGAACCCAGCAAGTGCGGAGTTCTTGGAGCTTCATGCCCAAAAGGAGAGTCGCGTACAGGAGTTCCTGACGTCGCCCGCGCCGCCTCTTGCAGGAGAGTGGTTTATCCCCCCGCTGAACTGCGGTGGACAGCAACCCGCCTGCAACCGAGAAAGGCGCCGGGGCACGATGGGATTACCAACGCTGAACTCCGACAGCTGCCCCATAGAGTCCTAGTAGAGCTTGGTCGACTCTACAATGGGATATTGCGGACATCCCACTTCCCGGAGGACTGGAAGAAAGGCAAAGTGATCGTCTTGCCGAAACCCGGGAAGGACAGGCGTAGAGCTGCCAGCTACAGGCCGATCACGCTGCTACCACACATAGCTAAACTGCTTGAAAGATTGTTGCTAAGACGCCTCCGCCCGTGCATCCAACTTCGGGCGGAGCAGCACGGATTCAGGAGGGGTCACTCCACAGCAACACAGCTGACCAGAATGCTGCACCTGCTTGCGGCCGAATACAACCGTGGCCGCACTACGTTGGGCGTCTTTCTCGATATCGAGAAGGCGTTCGACAGGGTGTGGCATTCTGGACTACTCTATAAACTAGAAGAACAGACCAGTGTCCCTCCTGCTATGTTGCGGCTAGTGGCGTCTTTCCTGGCAGACAGGAAGTTCTACGTCTGCGTAGAGGGCGCAGAGTCCGCAACCAGAACCATCAGAGCCGGCGTTCCTCAGGGCAGCTGTTTGTCTCCAGTCCTGTACGCGGCTTATACCAATGATATCCTTACCCTGGCAGGATGGCTGCAAGAGTGGAAGGATGACGTGGAATTGGCGTTATACGCGGACGATAGCGCTTATTTCACCTCGTCCAGAAGAGCCCACATTGCCACTGCCAGGATGCAACGTCTCCTGGACCTGCTGCCACCATTGCTAGATGAGTGGAGGATGGTCGTCAACGTTGGTAAGACGACCGCTCTGCTCACTCGCCGCCTCAGGAACCTACCACCTCAGCTAACCCTCAATGGCCAGAAGATCGCGTACGAGAAGACCGTGACCTACCTTGGGTGCCGGATCGACCGGGCGCTGCGCATGACTGCGCACGTCGACCTCGTCGTCCGCAGAGCACGATGTGCGCGGGCGATGCTCCGTCCGGTCCTGGCATCCAAGTTACCACTTAACACCAAAGTGCGAGTTTATAAAACATACATCAGATCCATTATCACGTATGCTGCTCCGGCCTGGTACGCGCTTCTGAGCGAGCCTCTGAGGCGGCGACTGCAGGCCCAGCAAAATCTGGCGTTAAGAACCATTGTCGGTGCGGGTCGCTACGTCCGGAATGACGTCATAGCGGCCAACCTGAAAATTGACACCATCCAGGAGTTTGTGGCCCGGTTGGCGCGCAGACTGTTCGACCGTGCAGACAACGGGCCGCACATACATCTCAACAACCTAGCGCCGCTACACACTCGCCCTCCGGACGGGCGACCCTATCCAAGAGAACTCCTCTCTATATCGATTAGAGAGTCGAGTAACAACCCACAATGCCGCTGATAGGCTAACTTTGACTTCACCGGATAACCTCTCTTTTTCGTAGTCTAACCGACTACGAAAATCAACCGATTATGGACAATTCCTTATACAACACCTACAATGCCATTAGAAGGCTCCCAGGACCGGTCCATAGTGGTGGACCGCGAGGATAGCACGGATAATGGGGGCATACCCCGAACCCTACATGTCTCATGGGGCATGGAGACGACAGTCAGTAAATGCGTTACCGGCCTTTTAAAAAGGAGTAGGCTCTTTTCTTGAAGGTCTCTAAGTCGTATCGATCTGGAAAAATCTCTGATGGTAGTCGATGAGCTAATATCGTAGGAACCTGATATCTTACCTACATACAAATAAAATATGTAGTTACATACAAATATCTTGCATGTACATAGTACATACTTAGTACGAAACTATATTCATGTATCAATTAGTGTTCTGGTGATTTGGTATGGGGGAGAAACGAGGGGGAGACCCCCCCCCCCAGTTTCAATCACGTTTTAATATTATGTCTATGTATTACGCCTAATAAATGAATGTATTAACACTTAGTTTGAGTAGTAACACTTGCTACCAAACCGTCAAAAACACCTGTTTTTTCAGTGATCAACCGTGCCATGGGAACACCACCACCAGAAGCTGTTAAGCGCGAGTATCACTACTACATGACGCGGAGGATCTCCGACGCGCTTCAACGTACCGAGGAATCGAGCCGTTATTGTAAGTCATTTATTAGATTATTTTAATTTTAACTTCCCGCTAAGAAAATTGAAAATTTTCAAAAATGGTGAAGTTATTAGTTTCACCCCGATTTTCGGAAATCGAGTTTTCATTAGATATCGACGCTTTGAGATCACAGGAAGCTATTCTGATTAAATTCACGTGGACGTCCGTACGGACGTATGTATGATGTATGTGTGTATGTGTGTGTAAGTATGTAAACCTTTCATAACTTTTTAGCGGTTTGCGGCGTTCTAAAGATCTTAATGTGCAATAGATTTGGTGATAATATGAACTGATTCGGACAAGTAGATTTTGAGAAATCTCAAAAATAAAAATTTTGAAAAACTGTTTTTTTTTTAATAACTTTCAAACGGCTTTACCGATCAATTTCAAAAACTAATCAGCTCTTAACCTCAAAAAATGACGTCGAATGCCGGTTGGAAAATAAAAATCGATTTATTCATTTGTGAGATATCGAAGAGAAAGAATTTGAAAAAAAAAATTTTTTATCATAACTTCGAGGTTTCGCAACATAATTTAGTGAAATTTGGAGCGCTTTGCATTTGAAATTAGCGGGAAGTTCCAGGGATGGCCTGCAGGGTTAAAGAAATATTTTAAATATTATTCTGCTTGAAAATAAATTCATTAATTTATTTATTTGCTTTTTAGTTTGTACGTTACATGAGATACTATTAAATACTATACACTAAGTCCCTAATGGAGACATTCAAATTTGTCTATTCTTTAAAAATTTTGTTTTATATAAAATTTAACATATCAAAATCAATCATTATCAAATTATTAAATCAGCAGTAACATACAATCTATCCCACTAAATAAAGACATCAAAAGTGTAATTAAAAAAATACCGATGACCCTACAGACCATCCCCTAATTTCAAATGCAAAGCGCTCCAAATGCCACTTATTATGACGTGTTTCATTCAAAAATGTCATAACATTTTGGAAACCACGTTTATTTTTTCGAAATTAAATATTTCACGAACAAGTCAACCAACTCAGATGAACTTGACGGCGCTAGACGCAGTTTTTTAAGCACTCAGTTAATTTATTATAACAAAAACTATCTAAGAAGACATTTGTAAATTATTTAAAAATAATCATTTTTTGAAAATTTTCATTAAAAGTTTCTCTTCAACGCATCAACCGATTTTCATGCGGTTTATTTAGATTTTGGAGACCGATACAGCTGTTTAAAAGTTATTTCTAGAATACATTTTTTTCGGAATATTTTATTTTTGAGAATTTTCAAAATCTACTGGTCCGAATCGGTTCAAATGCCGTAGAAATCTAAGTTTGGTTAAGTTTCGTTCAAATCGGTCAAACCATTCCAAAGTCCAATGTAACCCTACATACATCAAATTCAAATTCAAATTGTTTATTGCATGTCACATTACAAATTTAAGAGGGTACAATTTTGATAGGTATACATGTAATATACACACACACACACACACACACACACACACACACACACACACACACACATGCACGCACGCACGCACGCATACGTGCGCACGCGCACATGCTCGCAATCGCACACGCAAGTGCACACGAACGCACACGCACGTCTGATGAGAATTCGATTTTTGAAAACCGCCGTACCATGTCAATTATAGTCAACCAAATCTAAGAAATACATTTTTGACAGCTGTCAGACTTATTGCACCAAGCATGCCAACCAAAAAATGAGAACGTTTAACGAAAAAAATTTAGAGTTTGTAATCATTTACAGTTTGGTATGTATAATACCAGAATAAATTAAAACAGATAATTTAAAACACAAGATTTATCCGCTTCTTCGTATTTGTTGTTACTGCTTACTTCTAGAGGCAAAGTAATAAAAAAAGATTGCAACTAGATTAAAAATAAATTTATTCAATCACTTTCAGTACAACTAGTTGAGCTGTCGTTGTTTAGATTAATTATTATTTGCTTTACAATAGTGCAGTTAAAATTAATGTCTCTTTTAAAGTCATCCTTTTTTTGTTTTTTTCTACCACTTTTGCCCAATATTGAAGAAACAGTCCAAAAAGTTAAAGCTGAGTCACAAAATAAGAAGACCAAAACAAAATCACAAAATTACGCATAGTATTCTCCAGAAATGGCGTGAGATTGAAATCACTTAGTGGTTTTTTCAGCGCCGCCTTGTATATGAGTTTTTATGACGACACATTGACAAAGTAAAAAAAAATAAACTTGTTTTATTCACGATTCATGTAATAATAGGAATATTAAAAATAAAAATTAAATTAAACAAATAACACAGTAAGAAATTAATGATTCGATTATTTGAATATTTTTACCGATTATTTGAATGTTTTTACCAATTATTCGCATAACAATGAATTTTAATCAACCAAACACTACGGTAAGATGACGTACGGAAACGACAAATAAAAAGTTGATATTGATTATTTTTTTTAATATTTTGCTTTATTTGAAAGATTCGAATTTAAATTAGTGATATACACGTTGTAATGGAATATACATAGATAACTTCATAGTTCTTCGGATTTACGTAAAAGGTTATTTTAAATCGCTTGTGCAAAGTTATTGCGGAATGATTAATGTGAAACGTCAAAAGGTATTCCTTAGATTTGGTTGACTATAATAATAAAAATTTCAATTATCTAGTCCATCAGTAATTCAAAAATTTATTTATTGCGTAAAATGTATTTTGAAGGTAAATATAATTTGTAATTATTTTTATTGCCCTGTGATAAAATTACACTGTGTGGTATAATCTACACGGTGGTAGTAAAAGCGTAAGAAAACTCCCCTGCTCCGTCATTCATCGACAACGACAGAGGAAATTTGCAACAGGAGCTTCCTGATAACAATTTAAAATAATAATAATAAGGAACTGCGGTTTCAAACTCGTCTGTCAAGCGTGGCAAGTGTCACCGTGTGACGTAATCTGTGGGGGGGTGGGGGACTAGTGAATGACTAATAGTTATAATTTGTAATCCTTATAACTCTCTTTTTAAAGTTCTGTGATAAAAACACTTCCACCGTGTAGTTAAAGGGTAAGAAAACTCCACTGCTGCAGCATTCGGTGGCATGGGTGTCGTAAGAGGTGGAAGAGGATGTAGCAGGAGATGGATGGTAGCATGTTCCTGAATGTTCCTGGGACAATCTGTTGGGACAATGGAGGTGGCATAGGAGAATCCACTACTCCTATTCATCTCGTGTGTCGTAAGAGGCAATATAGCCTATTGCCTGACTTTAGTTTTTTTATAGGATAGGGTGACGAACGAGCTCACAGTCCACCTGATGGTAAGTAGTTGCTGTGCATCAACATCTATCCTACATCTATCCTCGATTACGAATCAAAATTCAGATGCGTTATCACCAGTAAGTACTAAGATGAAATGCCTTGTTTCCAGTAAAGGGTCTCCGGCTCTCTAAGCTCACCATACGAAACACAGCAGCATAATGGTGCTATATTTACGCTGGTATTTTGTGAGAGCGCGATCTTTTTTAAGTCGAGACGAGCCATTCGTGCTACTACCATAATATAGCTGCGGCGTGGCTTTACCACGTATAAACGTCTACCACGTACACTCCCGCAACGAAATGATATTATGCTTTCTGTCAGACCACCACTTATAGCAACCACCAGGTGAGCGTTTGATAATATACTTCTAATAACAATTACGGCAAAGGTCCCAAAGAGCTGCCTTCAGAGATCAGACGCCGCGAAAATAAGCTTCTAGAAGATGCAGCGTGCAAATGTGATGACGAAGCCACCACTGGTGCGATGCAGCTCGTTCCTGGTGAGTATGTTTATGTTAGAGAGTTGCAACGAAGCAGAGAATATACTTTATGGTTAGTGTGTACTGCAAGCCGTAGACACGAATAGACACCTGCATCTATCTCGATTAAGATTCGTTGACACCCCTGAGCAGTGATGTAAGTAAGACGTACCATTTTCTTGGTACGCGTACCATTTTTTGGGGTTTTATCTACTAAATACTGTCTTGATGCGCAAAAATACAAAATCTTTTAAGGGCCATGAATGACAATTTTTTTTTTGTTATTTTAAAAACAGAATGTCAGGCATTGTTATAACTAGTAATCACGTTATGACTGCCTAGTTGGTCTAGTGGTTGTAGTAGTGCGCCTGCTGATCATGAGGTTCTGGGATCGAATCCCCGGTCGGGCAAAAATATTAATTATTGAGTTTTTCCGTCAAGAAATTCTTAGTAGTTGCCCGGAGTCAGGAAGTTTGCGGTGTCTCACCCCCGTGCCTCGGAAAACACGTAAAGCTATTGGTCCTGCGCCTGATCTCTCTCCAGTTGTGTAGGTTTACCGTCCCATCGGATTATGAGAGTGAGAGGAATAGAGAGTGCACCTGTGCCTGCGCATACACTTGGGCACTATAATCCTGTCCTGCGCCGATGGCTAGCCTCCGTAGAGGCAGGCCGCCGTGGCCGAAATTCGGTCTGGAGGACATTATTAATCACGTTATTGATTATTGTTGATATTTACTGTTTACACTTGTAGCTATCATTTATTTTGTGCTAATAGTAAGCTGTAAACCCTTTAGTAATGCAATTTAAATTCATCTTATCTGGAGCTGGCCATGTCTCACGGAGGTAAATTCAAACACTTGCCAAACTATTTTCACGTGTTATTATTTATTAACAACTGTGATGGTGAGGTTTAATGTATGTACAGCCAGAATCGTCTGTACTGTACTAAGCGGGAGTACATTAAATGCCATATCGGTAAACCCATACTATGATATGTACCAATTTACGAGTTTAATAAACCAACTGTACGAGTGTACCAATTTTTATTTGAAATACCAGGTTTTAGCGATATCTGTACCAAGTTTATTGGGCAACTATCACATCACAATTAGCAACTTAAAAGATACAAACCAACACTTTACTTTACTTTTATCTAACATCACTATCCCTATTTACTAGGACGGAAGCATAACAAATAAAAATGTCTCTCGATCTCGTCAGCGCCACGAAACACAGCAGCATTATGCTGCTATTTCACACTGGTATTTTGTGTTAATGTTTATGTTTGTTGCTCTATTTGGGCGTATCCGTTCGTACTTGAGGTATAATACGTTAACAGCTTGACTTTTTATTTATTCTTTATAGTAAGACACCTTCAGCTAGGCCTACCTGGTAGCTCGGGACTTTAGCGCCCTACAATCCTGGGAGAAAGAGAAATAAAATAGATAAGCTAAAAGTATCATAATATATAGACATAAATAGCTAGTAGTGAGCATGGAGTAGGGGAACACATTCTAGGAAAATTTGTTGTCTCCAACTCTACATGAGAAAATATTTTAACGCTGTTTGACGGTCCCTCAACAGGATAGGCCCTGTGTCAGTTTAGGCTCGCCCACTCCACCCATGGTAAAGATAAATCAAAAATTATTAAACTCTTTCGGTGGGTTTCGCTATATATTTTATTAACTCTGGTATTGGCTTTTGTGGTTATGGTTCTTCAGCCAAATAAAAATACATCAAACGCTGTAATCTTATTATTAATAGCTTTTAGTAAATGCAAATATGTTAACAAAGACTAGGAAAGCGCTTGCTGTGACAGGGTTAGGCACGCTAGCCTTTTGGCCAAGTTTTCAGCTTACGGCTTATCTCCTGGCCTGGTTGACTGGGTGAAGGACTTTCTGAGTGAATGATCTCTCCGAGTCATTATCGATGGCTGCTCGTCTATCACGAGAAACGCCGGAGTTCCTAAGGGATCCGTTCTCCCCGCAACTCTCTTCCCGCTGCATATTAATGATCTGTTTATTCCCGGTATTTATTGGTATGCAGATGACAGCACAGTGTGTCAAGTTACCAGCTGAATGTTCGGGCCAGTCGAGATCAAATCCAGTTCTAAAGAGAAGCTATGGTTGAACGTGCGAATCTATCACTTCAGGCAGTCTCCTAATGGGGCCTACCAATTTCGTGAGATTCAACGTCTCCAAAACACAAGCGTGTCTTTTCACCGCTAAAAGAAGCCCGCTCACCTTGGCTCCTACTATCCGGAATGTATCCTTAGAAAACACTGACAGCCTTCAACTGTTAGGGGTTTTCTCCGAACCTCAACTATGGGCGGTTCATTGAGTTCAGGGCCAAAGTTGCCGCAAGGAAACTAGATGTTCTTGGAAGGGTGCGGCGGAATTTCACGCCGGGGCAGCTTCTTACCTTATACAAAGCGCACGTCCGGTCGTGCATGGAAGTGTAGTACTGCTGTCACATTTGGGCAGTCGCTGCAAAATACAACCTAGCAGCGTTGGACTCAGTGGAGAGACGTGCTAAGAGGTTCATGGGTAGCCTTGATTTTGTTGAAACCAATCTTCTCAGTCTCGAGCACAGGCACAGAGTAGCCAGCCTCTCAGTATTTCTACTTTAATTCCTCCCTCTCCTTTCCACCATCTGATAACCAGGCGGTCGGCGGGTCTTCAAACCTTTGTTGTCAATATTCCACGCATTAAAACCAAACGATTTGCTTCTTCTTTTGTAATACGTACAGCAAAAAAGTGTAATAATTTGTCGCCGTCTATCTTTCCGTCCGAATACAATCTGGGCGTGTTCAAATCAAAGCAAGAGTAAATAGGCTTTTGTAACGCTAAGACAGTGCGATTTATCATCTAGGGCAACTTACCACCAAGCGGAATTGTGGTTAAGCACTGGCTTATAGTTTTAGAAAAACGTTATTCGTATATTGGCTGTGTTCGGCAAAAAAAGAGCTAGGAAGCGCTTGTAAGCAAAATGGCAAAACTAAACAGTATTCGACCAGGACACGTTTGCTAACTTCAGTAGCGCTGACACGATCCATCATTTTGCTTATTTATTTTGTTTGTTATGAAGTAGAGTTTATATGTTGTTTTGTGCAATTAGTTTCAAGTAATATAATTACATGAATAAACATATAAATGTTATTACAAATTCATGATTGGTAAGTTTTTAATATGAATACTTTACAAACATATATTTAAATTAGGTAAAGTTCCCCGGTTAAAGCTAACTTAACGTCCTAGAGGAAAATAGCTATCTACCATTTGACAGCGCTTACCGCTTACAATCGCCATTTTGCTTACAAGCGCTTCCTAACGCTTTTTTTTGCCAAACGCCCCAATGATAGAAGAGTCAAACCAAGTTGCCATCGTAACTACAGATAAAGCAATAAAAATATCTGGCTGTTCTGGCCTTACGTTGCTGAGGCTCTGTATAATATAATAAAAAAGAAAGTGTTGCGGGAGTTTTCGCGGGAACTTGGCCGTAGACGGATTGTCGCTCCTGTTTTGTCACTTGGTATGAAGGTATAATAATAATAATAATGGTTTAAAGTGGATTTTGATTCGTAAAAGTGATACGATTTTGTGAATTGAAGTGTCCGCGCGTGTGAACTATTAGAGAAAACGTCGAAACAAGTGCTTTGATGTCGATATAAACCTCAAGTTAATTTGATCGCTTGGGCGCCTTATGAACTTGAGTGGCTGTCGTCATCAACAGTCCGCTGGGTTGAACTGTCGTCAAAATCTCCCAAGGGCTTCGCAATGTGACGCATCAGTATATTGTGAAGAAAAAGAACATAAAATGAAGATTCCCAAAGAAAGGATAGGCTCAGAAGGTCTAGAAACCAGAACCGTAAAGCCAGTTAATAAAAAAAAAAAGAAAGTGTTGCTTTTATGTCCGACAAATGGCGTTGTTTCTCAATAATTTACATTAAGCCGCGCGCATTCGAACGTAACGTTGTCTCCAAATTTCAAATTAAATAAAGCACTTTCAGAGATTTAAGATTTTCAACTAACGAACATTTACATTTTACTATAGTATAGTACTTAATTAAAGTTAAGGCAACTATGAAATTCAAACTTTCTTCACAGATGTAAAAACAAAGGAGAGATCACTTCTGCCTTCCCAACTTAGAATTCTTGAAGAGATGAAACGTTGTAAATGTGACTCTACTCCAGCGTCGGTTCCACCTACTGATGGTAATGTTTCAATTTATTGTTTTTTTTTTTAAATAAAAGAAGTAATAAACGAGTACACAGTCTATCTGTAAGCGTAGGCTGTGGCCCATCGATACTATTTATTCTCGCATATTATATCCTCCTGAGACCCAGACCCCAAAGTGTTGCCAGATCTTCATGATATTTGTATAGCAGTTTAAGTGTAACCCCAGCACTTCGAAAAAAATAAGTAAACTAGGCTGACATCAGTGACACTGCGGCATTCAAACACATCAAAAAAGGTTTTATTCAAAAAAGTTTTCATTTCACTCTCAGATGAAGTAAAAAAAGGTAGATAGAGCGCGGCCTATGTTATTGGTGAAGCCAAAAAACTCTGCTCCTTTATGTAAGCACACGCGTTCACGCACACACATGCATCAAACTACGCTCATTTTCGCTCAGTACTTCCCGGGGCGTCGTGCAGTAAATTTGCCTACAAAATGCCGTCCTGTGTAGATAAAAGGGTGCAAAAACAATACTAAAGTGAACAAAAAGTCTGAAACAATATCGTTTCACTCGTAGACACTCATTTAACTATATTTTAGTTTGTTATTCCATCAAAATTTTGAAGGTTATTCAAAGCACGAATGTCAATGTTTCCAGATTACGTAACGGGAGAATGTTGCCAGTATTTCTAATGGTCCAAGATTTGGGTAATATATTTTAGGCTAAGTTATACTTACAAACTATTTTACTATCAAAAAATATTAATGATTTTATGCTACTAACGAATATTTTAATAGGATATGAATTTTTTATGTGGTAGATCCATGCTGTAGTGGGACTATTTGTAGTATAGTTATAGCACGAATGAGTCGGCTCGACCGGGGAAGGACCACGCTCTCACAGAATACCAGCGTAAAATATTAGCTTAATACTGCTGTTTCGTATGGTGAATGTAGAGAACCGGAGACCCTTTTTACTGGAAACATTTTGATTCGTAATCGAGGATGTATTTAGATGTCTATGGACCACAGCAACCACTTACCATCAGGTGGAGTTTGTTCTATTTTGTATCTACAATAAACATACTTTTTTTCATTTGGAAAAGTATATTTTTAATTCCATGGAAAGTTATTTTTTCCTCCAACTAGTTTTTTTTAGTATTAAGTTATTTTTTATAATAATCATTGTATATTTTATCGATTTTTACTTGCTCACTGGACAATCTATCAAGAAGACTTTTAAATGATCTACAGACACCTACGTGCTTCATCTTTTTTTGAATTGTCAAATTGTTGAAATTTATTAAAACAGACAGATATACTTTCGCATTCGCATCGCATATTATACTCTTATAGTTGTAGTATTGTATCTCGATTTTCAGGAATTTAAAAAAAAAGTAGTAACACTTCTCTGACTCACACAAAGTTATAAAATTGGCTACAGTTTCATGTTCTAGGTGCGTTATCTACCTTTTTTTTACTTCATATGAGATTTCACTACAAGCTTTAGTTTTAGTTATCATCAGTATGAAAGGGGGTCATTGTAGAAGCGTGCTCGTCGCGACCCCTGCCAGCCCTTTTCAGGGTAGCAATTCTACACAGCTGCGCACCCATGCAAACGAGGGTTAGGGCGTCCCCCCAAGGCGACGCACACCAGCTCGTCCCCGTTGGTGTGGAATGCAGCGCGCAAAGCGGCGATGGGGACCGCCACCCGTCACGCACAGACCGACACGGTGGAAGGTGGAGGACGGAGTGCAGAGTTGGCACGTGGAATGTTAGAGGGGGCATGAGAGATAAGACGAATGAGTTGATCGAAATAATGAAAGAAAGAGAATTAGATGTCGTGTGTATGTCGGAGACCAAACGGAAAGGCAGTGGTACTGAAGAGCTCCCTGGCGGGACGTTAGCTATATGGTCCGGAGTCCCGGAAAGCGAGAACGCCTGCCAGGGAGTGGGAGTGCTGTTGTCGTCCCGGTTGGTCGATCTTATGACTGAATACAAGGCTGTGAACTCAAGACTTCTCTGGGTTCGCTTCAAAATGGGACTGACGAAGTTATTCCTTTTAGCTGTTTATGCGCCGGTAGCTTCGTCGTCCAGGGCTGAGCTGGAGGAGTTTTGGGAGAATGTAAAAGAAGTTGTAGATTTGGTTAAGGGAAACGAAAGAACTGTTGTATGTGGTGATTTGAATGGATGGGTAGGTATCGCTCGACCAGGATACGAGTCGGTGCTTGGAAAGTTTGGCGATAAAAGGGTTAATGATGCTGGCAAGCTTATACTGGCTGTATGCAAGGAAAAGGGTCTTCTTGTGATAAACACTATGTTTAATCACAGGAAAATCCATATGTACACTAGAGAAAGAAAGAATGAGAGAAGTATGATTGATTTGTTCCTGGTGGATGACCGACTGCGAAAACAGGTCATGGATACACGAGTGTTCAGGGGTGCTGACCTGGGAACGGATCATTATCTAGTAATTACTAGATTTAGGGGTTTGTTCGCGGGTTGGCGCTACCGGACGGCAGTAACAGAACCACAGTCGGTCTGTCGCATCCGAAGCTGGAAGCTTCAGGAAGCGGATACTAGGGACAAATATCACACGAGGGTAGCCGAAAAGCTTGACACCATCGATGGCAGGAAAGAATGTGTGGAGAGAACATGGCAGAACCTTAGGGATGGAATGGTAAGTGCAGCGGAAGAAGTATGTGGTACGACAAAAAGAGGTAGTAGTAAAAGAAGAGATGCATGGCGGAATGATGAAGTGAGAGAAGCTGTAAAAAAGAAGAAAAAAGCATGGTTAGACTACTTGGCCTCTAGTAACGATGAGCATATGAGAGAGAAGATGAAAGAAAGATATAAGCTGCAGAAAGTTCATGCGAAAACATTGATTGAGGAAGTACGTGAAAGGTGTAGAATAGAAGCGGACGAGAGGTTGTCGCACAACTTTAGGGAAAACTCCAAACTCTTCTGGAAAGAGGTTGGAAGGTCCCGGAGTGGTGCGACAGCCTTAAGAATGAACAAAGTGCTTTCGAGAACCAATGACGTCCTCTCAGAAAAATCGGACGTCATGCAGCGATGGAGTGAATTTTGTAGAGAAATGTATGCGTGTCATGATCTTAGTGAAGGATCCGGGGGTGACGCCGTGACTGGCACGCCAGACACGGACCTCGATGACACTGAGGTCATCAGCATGAAAGAGATTGAACGTGCGATTCGAAGTTTGAAATGTGGTAAGGCTGCGGGACTAGACAGAGTTACTGCTGAAATGGTCAAGTACGGTGGGCCTCGCGTCTGGGACAATTTCCATCTGCTGTGCAATTTGTGCTGGCGGACGGGAGATGTCCCGGATGATTGGCGATCCGCGGTCATTGTGCCTTTATATAAAGGTAAAGGTTCACATTTTGACTGCGGGTGCTATCGGGCGATCAGCTTGACCAGTTTAGCAAGTAAAGTTTATTAGAAGGTTTTGACATGTAGGATGCAAGAGAAATCGGAAAGATTCTTATGGGAGGCACAATGCGGATTTAGACCTGGAAGAGGATGCACGGATCAAATGAAGAAAATGTGGGAACTGTTGCCGGGATATGGTGTGGATGGTCGATTGTTAAGGGCTGTGCAGTCACTTTACTATGACTGTAAAGCCTGTGTGCGGGTAGGGCATGACCTGTCACCCATGTTTAGCGTCCAAGCGGGCGTAAAACAGGGTTGTGTCATGTCTTCCTGGCTGTTCATACTGTATCTCGACAGCTGTTTACAGGAGCTGAAAAATAGCTGTTTGGGTGTGAAATTGGGTGACACAAAAGTAAATTGTCTGCTGTATGCTGATGATGCAGTGCTTATTGCACCATCAGAAGCAGAACTGCAGGCATTAGTCACGTGTATGAAAGAGGAATTTGAAATTAAAGGTCTCCGTTTGAATGCTAATAAAACTAAGGTTCTGGTATTTGAAAAGGACGAAGAGAGAACGAAATGTGAAATATGGGTAAATCAGGAATGTCTAGAACAGGTAAATGAAATTGTATACTTGGGGAGTGCTTTCAGCCGGGATGGAAGATGTGATTTAGATGTGGATAGGCGTGTCGCTGCCGGAAACAAAGTCAATGGTGCCCTGAATGCATTAGTAAAAAGGCAAGGCGTGGTGAAGAGTGCACGCCTTGCAATACATAACGCAGTGTTGGTACCGACTTTGTTATATGGCAGCGAAACCTGGGTATGCCAGAAGAAGCATAAAAGCAAGTTGAATGCAGTGGAGATGCGAACTCTTCGTAAAATGTGTGGCGTTACCATAGCCGACCGAAAGCGAAACGAAGAGATTCGCAATATGGCAGGATTGAAAGATGACCTTATCACAAAAATTGATAGGGGCGTACTCCAATGGTTTGGGCACGTTGAACGAATGAGTGAAGACCGAATGGTGAAGAAAATATATAGAGCGAAAGTAAATATTAAAAGGTGTCGAGGTAGACCGAGACTAACTTTCGAAGACCATGTGAGCAAATTGCTCGAAGAGGGGAGGGTCAAGAGTACTCGGATACCTAGACGTGCATGTGAAGAATGCATGAAGAAGTTAATGAACCTGAAAGAAGCGAAAGAGGTATGTAAGGATCGTGACACTTGGCGATCTGTTCTCTCTGGCTACCCCGTTCGGGATTGTGCGTGAAGATAAGTAAGTAAGTAAGTAAGTATGAAAGGTGAAAAAGCAATTACGGTTCCCCTTGAAACATAATAATATATTACAGCTTGAAATGTCTGCCGATTGCACGAGGTAAATCGATATTTTCGCCCAACCGACCTTCACAAAAATTGGTAAGTGTTTTTCTTCCTTCAGTCTCTTCGCAACGTGAGGAGTGGGTTCGACAGTTTTACGCTTTCGGATTGAATGTAAAGCTTCAACATTTATTTATTCTCGGTCTTCATATACACTAGGTCAATGATTATTACTAGGAGCGCATGACATAGAAGGACTTGAATACTGTGGCGTATCTAGTTTTTGCCTACCATAAATCAAATGTTTGGCGCGGTCCAATTTGAAGTCGATAT